ACATTAAACATCAGGGGCGTATGCAGCTTTTGAAAGTGTGTATGTGTCTGGTATTGTGCGTAATGGCCGTGTGCATGTGTGTGTGTGTGTGTGTGCGTGCACAGTTCACCCCCACCCCTTCTGGATCCGCCTATGGACATTAGGGATGACGCTCTCACTTCTATTGTTTCTGAGAAACTTTTTCTCTTTACATGAGCTTATATATCATTTTGTCCCTTTTAATAATGACGCCAAGTATGTATCATTTTAATAGGTATCAAATAAGCCCCTGTAAATTCAAAATGAGCCTTCCCAGTTATATGGAAAAACACAGAACCTGAGGAAATTTAGACTTGCTTCATTTAGGGCTTTAACATTGCCAAGGATGGCTGATCGAGCAGTTGGGGAAATAATATGGTTCAGGGCCTGTGAGGACAGACTATGTACAGCGTAACGATGGTCTTACTGAGTGTTTTGATTGTCCTATTGGACTGAAACAGGGCTCGTATACTACGCCCCATTCTATTCACTCTTGTATCAATGAGTTGGATGCCGATGTTTTAATAGTTGCTGTAGAGGAGAATTACAATTATTCCCTGATTAACATCAACTGTTTATTCTGGATCGTGTTACTACTTCATGTCCGATCGAGTGAAGTGGGTTACAAAAGTAAGTTAATATTCTTGATCACTACTGTTCAACGTGAAAGTAAAATGTCAACCTACCGGAAAGAAAAAACAATGTATGGATTATAGTAATGAACTTGCAGAAGTTGTTTCATAATAAAGGAACCTTGGACTTTTGATGACTTTATCATTAGAATTAACAACAGAAGTAAATACATTTGGCGTTAAACGGGTAAAAGGCATCTGCCATTAATGAAAGTTTTTCAAATTAACAGGCTCTCAAATAATACACCCAAACTTGAAGCTTAGCTATTTCTATAGTGAAGCTTTGCAGAGAAACCACCACCACTCCACCCATCACCCCTACGTTATAGGGTACCTATGTACTTATTGAAGAAGGGCTATAGACTCTTTCCACATTATTAGATGGCCAAATGGATATGAAGACGGTAATATTATCCAACCCGTGTTTTAAAGTATGTGAATGCGAAATACAATTCAGGCTCCTGGAAGCCACCCAAATTTCAAGCTATTTTATAGTGACGTTTGCATATAGAAACCCTCTATGTTGTAGAATGCACCCATGTACTGTTGAAGAGGGATATGGAGCGACTTTCTTCACACAATAGTAGATGGCCAAATGGATACGGAAGACGATAATATTATTTCCAAACCATATATTCAAGGATATCGATGCTACAAATGCCAGGTTTCCGAAGGTGCCGCCCATATTTCAGGCTACTGTTGTAGTGACGCTTTGCATAGAGAACTCCACCTATGTTGTAGGGGTACCTATGTAGTGCTGAAAAGGGGCTATTGGGGCGAATCTTTTCCACATGGATTAGGGTGGAACAAATGGATACAAAGAAGATTTGATAGTAATATTTTCAACCCGTATCTTGTAAAGGTCACATGCAACCAAAAAAATCAAAACATAATTAAAACACAGTTATCACTTTATTTATGACATATAATCCTACATTGCTGGTTATGAAAACATATAAACAAAATACATAAGCGTACAATCGCGCAATCAAAAGTGCAATATTGTGTACTTGGGTTTACTTCTCAAGAAACGAAGCAGCCGGGATATGTAAACCCAGTCAGAGCGGGTAGGGTGTGCACTCAAGTGTAACAGCTTGGTTCATTTACAGATGCCCTCATAGGGCTCATTGTGTGTACATATAGAAATGTTGGGTTTTGCAAATACATGCTCATTTTTGTGTATAACATTTTACAATCAACAGACATCATAACATGTCATGTGTTCCAAGTATCACACCCTGCCTGTCTGTGTAATTACATAATGTGACAGAGACCGGGGACATAAATCAATGCGTTTTGTTTATGTGTATAGCCCATTTGGTGTTAAGTTCAAATTGCATGTGGTCAGTGATAGCAGCTGTGGTATTAAATATTTTCATTAGCAGACAGGCAGGCAGACACACAGGTGTCAATAAAAACAAGACATTGAGTTTTGTCTGTGACACGACTTATCTATATCACAGTTAGGAAATTCTGTCAACTCTAAATAATGACATTGCTTTTAACTATCGAATTGAGAAAGTGACTCGGTAAGAAGAACGTGGGGGAAATAGACAAAATGAAATTATATAAACAGTTAATTTTACTGTCATAACATATAAAGCTCGCGCCAGTGAGATATCAACAAAACATTGTGGGTGGCTCACACCAAAAGCCTTCACCGAGTATTCACCGGACAACCTGGCTTCCAAGCTGGCATGAACCTATTTCACTGCGCGACGTGCTATGAGCGCAATAACCTAGCTGTTGAAATCCAGTTTCCCCGAAAAGTCGGGGAAAAAATTAGCACAACGTTTGAACCCGATTTCGCGCGGGTTTTTCATCGCGTTATTTTTCTAGCTTTATAAGTTGAATTTGCATTTTGACGATTTGTTTCACTTTCACTATAGACCACTGGTTTTGTAACAGAAACAATGTCAAGTGTAAATTGTTTATTGAGAATATAGTAGACCAATAAAATAAATACGCATCAGAGAATTCAAAAGCACGCGCAATATTATATTGACAAACTGTAAAAGTGAAGTAATTGTATTTATATCTAGTTGGCGAAATGGCATTTATAAGAATAGGTAGGGTGGGATGTACCCAGGATACACTGGCAAAAGAGATGTAACATCAGAACAGATATAATATATGCAGTTCGCTAAATACGTAACTGAAACGGCTGCATACCAA